CAAGCATGAGTACAAGTACTAGGTTTGACCTAAAGTGTTGTACTCAGTAAAGGCTACCCCACTAAAGGCAACACATACAAATGTAATTTGACAGCGTCCTGCACTTGGAGCAAATCAGGCATTTCCTTCAAAAGCAGCACAAGCCGCTTCTTCACATGAGCCCTTCTTGAAGACTTTGGGAAACCGTGGTCCTTTAAAGATAGTAGTTAAAATAGTGACCCCCCCCCTTCTAGTTGGATCCACTTGATTATCAAAGTTTTTTTGTAATGTTTTGAAAAGTTGAAGTGTCGTGTGTGTGGGTTTTTTTCACACCTCCAGACGAGTTCCGAATGAACAGGGATCAAAAGTACCTTCTCAATTCTGATTGGCAGCCAAATACTTGCACGTACATCTGCGATTATGTGCAAGGTTGAGCGACGTGCAATGTCACATTCACTAGAGTTGTGACTTCACCAAATTCGCGTCTAGCAGCAGCACAGGCAAATTGTCAAGCACAAACGTAAGATATGAGAGTGGAATAACGTGAACAAGATGAGAGCCAACGGAGCCACGACGAATCGTGCCCTCTTTGACTTGGGGCCTGAGAGTGGTTCATTAACAAGGATTCCTGAAAAATAAAAACTGAGCATGAATGGGGTAAACGGAGAAAAACAAGGTGATGCGACGGGATGGAAGGGGGGGATATTGAAGGCGAGGGGAGGGAATTGTGAGGGCGACGGGATGGAAGGGGGGACATCGAAGGCGAGGGAAGGGGAGGGGAGGGACGGGAAGGGAAGGGAAGGCGACGGGATGGAAGGCGAGGGAAGGCGACGGGATGGGGAGACCAGCGCGTGAGGGCGACGGGATGGAAGGGGGGGGCATTGAAGGCGAGGGGAGGGAATTGTGAGGGCGACGGGATGGAAGGGGGGGACATTGAAGGCGAGGGGAGGGAATTGTGAGGGCGACGGGATGGAAGGGGGGACATCGAAGGCGAGGGAGGGAAGGCGACGGGAAGGGAAGGGAAGGCGAGGGAAGGGAAGGGGAGGGACGGGAAGGGAAGGGAAAGGAAGGCGACGGGATGGAAGGCGAGGGAAGGCGACGGGATGGGCGAAAGCGAAAGGCACGTGAGGGCGGCGGGATGAAAGGGAAGGAATCGAAGACGAGGGAAGGGAAGGAGATCGCGAGAAGGCGAATTAACACGCGAAGGGAAGGGAAGGCGACGGGAAGGGGATGGAAGGCGACGGGAAGGGAGATAGTGAGGGCGACGGGAAGGGAAGGGAAGGGAAGGCGACGGGATGGAAGGCGAGGAAAGGAAAGGGAAGGCGATGGAACGGAAGGGACGGGAAAGGAAGGGAAGGTAAGGGAAGTGAAGGCGACGGGATGGGAAGGCGACGGGAAGGGAAGAAAAAGGAAGGGAAGGCGATAGTGAGGGGAGATTAACGAGGCGAAGGCCACGGAAGGGAGATAGTGAGGGCTATGGCGAACGACGCGATGGGAGGGGAGAGGAGGCGGATGATGGGATGGGAGAGGAGAGGAGGAACGTGAGCGCATGCAGATGGGAGGGGAGGACGTGAGCGAGAGGAGATGAAGTGGGAGACGGGAGGGAGAGCGCGTAGGCGACGGGAAAGAGAGCGCGTAGGCGACGGGAAGGAGAGCGCGTAGGCGACGGGAAGGAGAGCGCGTAGGCGACGGGATGGAGAGCGCGTAGGCGACGGGATGGAGAGCGCGAAGGCGCGGGGAGGGCGGCTGCGCGAGACAGGCAACCAGCCCCTGCAGAAGTGCAACGATCGCCTGCGGAAGGGACTTAATTTACGATACTGAGCTACGCGACAGTCTAACGCATTCCTGCAGGGTCGATAGTTACTTACCTTGGCCACAAACACCTATTGTTGTCAGCTAAAATATGCTAGGAATAAAACTAGTGACTTCGGGATGGAGAGCAGCTGGTCATGAAACCCAGTTCCAACTTGAAACCAATGTTGGCCTGGCGACGGAAACCATCGCCAGGCAACAGTCGTGCAGGTGTAGCACGTAGACGTGCGACGAGGGAGATCCGAATGGAAAAACATTTTGGCGGGAACAAGACAGCAGAAAGTTGGCGAAAGCCAATCACTTTTGTTCTTAGTGCTGCTCGTTTTCTTTGGAACAGTGCTCTATCGGCCCGCTCTCTGCAACACCATTTCAAGTTGGGACAGGGTTCATTATTTTACACCTGGTCCGCGGTATTTTAACCGCGCGAAAATGGGTAGCAGGATTTTGGATTATCTGGCCGTGGTGAAGATAAGGGTGCAAAATTTCGGTCATTATTTTCACCACCAATTTTTTGAACAGCATGGAAAGTTTTGACAGCACTACTCAAAAGGAGCAATTCGGCTCTTTTCGCCATCTGGAATGTTCCAGAGTCGGGAAAGTAAAACCATCGACGGTGACGATTCTTTTTGGAAAAATCGGATGGGGAAATTCGCTTGCCACGTGGACGGCGCCAGCTGAAATATCAAAAAAAGGCTTGGCAATCTGCAACTTGGTTCGGTCAAGTGTGAACAGCGATTTCTGGCCACCCAAGAAGAAACGCCCAGCGTGCCGACAAACTTGGTTACAATACCGGAGGTTAAAATACCGCGGACCAGGTGTATATTCTGGTTTTAACAGCACGCCCAAGTGCTTCCGTGTCTTTAGTCTCAGGTGTTCTTCCAGCTGCTCCAGGGAAATCCAATGGCCGGAAGCGCCCTCTACACAGGGTGTTACATTAGTCACACATTTGGCTGGCAAGAGATCCTCCAGTGCTGCATGAACCGCGACTCTCAGCCTTGACTGGATGAGCCCAAGGGTCCTCATATTGGCTTCCGACTGGACGAGTGAAATGCTGGGAGGCTTGTTCGGTTCTTCCCAGGTAAAATCCACAACACCCTTGAGCGCGGGTATCAACTGGTGCTGTCCTTTCAAACCATGGTCTTTGTACCTGAACTGCTTCCCAAACACAGCATGGTATAGCTGGAGAAATCGCAGGATGTCGCATGTACCGTGAGCACCAAGGATGGTAAAAAACTCGTACTTGAGCCGTGCGATTTCTGGAACATAGCTTGTAACTTGTGGGGGTGTCAAGCTTGCAGCGGCGTTGTGTGCGTTGGAGTTGGTAGGATTCAACTTTGGAGACGCTTCTGCAGATGATGACATGGGGTCAGTCCTGCTGAGCAGGAATCCGCGCATTATGGCTGAACCTGCTCGTACCTCACTAGATTGCACGGACACCTTAGATTGTATTAGAGCAGAACGCCATTTCTCACTCTGCTCTTGGATCTGCTTGGTGGTTAAGGAGAATAATGTGACTACTCTTACTCCAGTGCAAACCAGTGTGGTGATGAAAGAGAAGAAATCCCGATCTTGAGACAGTATGACCACAATAGGATGCTCAAAACTGCTTAGGAATCCAGGGGTCAGATACGCACAAACAGTTTTGATTAAAAAGGAGGTGGAGTGGCTTGAAAACAGGAAGAACAAAAACGATATTAAAAAAGCTATACGTACAACACTTACTTGGCCTCTGTGCTGTCCCGTCCAGAGTTCAGAAGGCATGCGATCTCCCTGAGCAAGAATCGTTCAGCGTCTTTCTTTATGGCGTTGTCTGCCATGTTTCTTCCCGGCGGAACTACCACGAGCTCAACATTGCAACGCCGAATTTCCTTCTGCTCCTGGAACGATGTGTCCTGTCCGTACGCTCTGATCAGCTGCACGTTTCCTAGTCCATCCGCAAATTTCTGCAACTCGCAAACAATTTTCGAGGTCGACGCACGCTTTGGGACAGGAAGATTCTCGTAGTCCCAAAACACACCAACAGGAGCTCGATTTGTTGCCGGGGAACTCCACGTAGAGCTCAGTTCCTTGAACGTGCTCTGAAGATCACCGGAGCTGGAAACATGTCGTTCTAGAGCTTTCCCTCTGCATTGAATGGATCTAGCAAACTTACTCAACGTGCCGCGTTCTAAAGTCAACAGCCGATTGGGTGTTGAGAGTGAGAAATTGTTCAGTCTGGGTCAGCTTCGAAGCCGGAAAAGTGGAATTGTACAAAGCGCGTGAGTCCATGGCTGTGGTTGCCAAAAACTCCAGAGAGACAAAACCATAAGAACTCTCAAGAGATGCGACCTAAGGAGGCTCACCAATACAAGCTTTATCGCGACCCTAGTAGGGTGGTCGAGATTAAGCCACCTACGAGTCGCGATCCCGTGATGGGAAACAGATCAAGTGCCGCTTGCATGAACGAGTGTGCATCCATGAATGATCTATCGCATGCAGATTCTTTCATGTCAACTTCTCGTGACATTTGACTGTCGATGTCTCCAAGGCAAAGCGTAAACTGGACTGGAGTATCTCCGTAAACTGGCTGTCATTCAGGGAGGCGAAACGCCACTATGAGATGCAGAAACCGTCCATCCCGGTATTGTACTGACTATTGCCTTGCCACACTCGTGTACTGGGTTGACATTTACTGGTATATTGCCTAAACCCTGTAAAATATATTTGACATTGACATTATGATAAAGCACATGATGGACAACAGCACAAATGTCTCTAGCTTAGCCATTGTCTGACTGGTTTCAGTTTTGACAAAGGTTGTACAATATCCATACTATGGTGGAGTATATCCAGAGAGTGACGGTATTATACAGGGAGGGAATTACAATACAGCAATCATAACAAAGACAATAAATAACAATTCTGAATCAAGCCATAACAAAAGGTACGGTATTATCAAGCGGGATTCCTCAAGGTGCTTCCAAGAGTAAGAAACACTATCAAGACCCCGCTCGCTTATCTGCGGCTTATTCAGTGTCAGCACCGCCAATGCTGAGAGCAGATAGGCTCTATAATGCACTTCCTTGCAGGTACGGTATATTTTTTTTATGTCTGCACTTCAATCCACCATGATGCATGGGTTGCAAGGATACGCTCCTTCAATGAGAGGAATCCTTTCCCTGGTGTCTTGATCCTTTTTTCAGACCTCCCAAAAGACGTGTGTGTGCGCTTTACTCCTCCGCCATGATGCAGGAGTTGCACGGATACGCCCCCTCAATGAGATCTATCTTGTCACCTTTGTGCATCCAGCGGCTCACAGCTTCGTACATCGCCTGAAGTTGGAAGGACGGGGGGAAGGGAGGGGGAGGGGAGGCGGGGGGAGGGGAGAGAAAAAAGGCAAAGGCAAATTTGGTCCAACGTCCATGCATACTGGCACTCACGCATGCTGGCACAGAAACACACGCACACACACACACCCACGCGATGTCGGAGCCATGCTGTTTGGGGAAGTCTGAAAGACTTCAAAATGCTGCATGATCTACCACAATACAAGGAAAGGGGACGCTTAGATGTCTAGACCGTCCTTTTGGTACGCACCACTCCTTTTGCCCTGCGCGTCCTCCACGGGACGTCCGAGTGGATGGAGGAACCCCTGATACACAACACCCTGCAGCTACCGCACTAGCCCTCTTGCTACCGAGTGGATGTGCTACTGTGCAAGGAAAGGGAAACCCACTGTTAGTGCACAACTCACCACGCCTTTGGCCGTGCGCATCATCCACGGGACGTCCGAGTGAATGGAGCCGTGCTGGAAGCAGGAGAAGAGGAAGACGGCGTTGGTGGGTGTGGAGTGCACGAGAGGTGCCACTGCATTCGCCACTGCCTTGCGGTAGTCTGAAACGCAGGAGTGGTGGACGGTGAAGCAAGGTGAGGCAAGGTGGGGAAAGGTGGGGCAGGGTGGGGAAAGGGAGGTGAGGTACGGCAAGGCAAGGCGGGTGAGGAGCGACAGGTAGGGATGAAGGGTATTGCAAGATAAGGCAAGAAGGCAAGAAGGGTAGGCCAAGGTAAAACAAGGAGGGCAGGGAAACGTAAGGCAAGGAGGGTAGAGCTGTGCAAGTACAAGTAGAAGCTCTTTCAAGAGGATATGATGCTTTACACTCTCTCTCACGAGCTCACTCACTCACTCACACTCACGCACCCTCAAAGAGTCGCTTCTCAGTGACAGAGCACGTGCTGGGATCTCACCCCCTCGCATCCATGAGCGCACTCTCATGCACTCACTCACTCACACTCACACACGCACTCACTCACTCACACTCACACACGCACTCACTCACTCACACTCACACACGCACTCACTCACTCACACTCACACACGCACTCACTCACTCACACTCACACACGCACTCACTCACTCACACTCACACACGCACTCACTCACTCACACTCACACACGCACTCACTCACTCACACTCACACACGCACTCACTCACTCACACTCACACACGCACTCACTCACTCACACTCACACACGCACTCACTCACTCACTCTCACACACGCACTCACTCACTCACACTCACACACGCACTCACTCACTCACACTCACACACGCACTCACTCACTCACACTCACACACGCACTCACTCACTCACACTCACACACGCACTCACTCACTCACACTCACACACGCACTCACTCACTCACACTCACACACGCACTCACTCACTCACACTCACACACGCACTCACTCACTCACACTCACACACGCACTCACTCACTCACACTCACACACGCACTCACTCACTCACACTCACACACGCACTCACTCACTCACACTCACACACGCACTCACTCACTCACACTCACACACGCACTCACTCACTCACTCTCACACACGCACTCACTCACTCACACTCACACACGCACTCACTCACTCACACTCACACACGCACTCACTCACTCACACTCACACACGCACTCACTCACTCACTCTCACACACGCACTCACTCACTCACACTCACACACGCACTCACTCACTCACACTCACACACGCACTCACTCACTCACTCTCACACACGCACTCACTCACTCACACTCACACACGCACTCACTCACTCACTCACACTCACACACGCACTCACTCACTCACACTCACACACGCACTCACTCACTCACACTCACACACGCACTCACTCACTCACACTCACACACGCACTCACTCACTCACTCTCACACACGCACTCACTCACTCACACTCACACACGCACTCACTCACTCACACTCACACACGCACTCACTCACTCACACTCACACACGCACTCACTCACTCACTCTCACACACGCACTCACTCACTCACACTCACACACGCACTCACTCACTCACACTCACACACGCACTCACTCACACTCACACACGCACTCACTCACTCACTCTCACACACGCACTCACTCACTCGCACTCACACACGCACTCACTCACTCACATTCACACACGCACTCACTCACTCACTCTCACGCACTCACGCACCTTCAAAGATATGCTTCTCTTTGGCAGTGCAGGTGCTGAGATGATCAAAACAGTCAGGTGGGGCCGTTAACCCCGAATCCAACACCTGTGGTTGTGTAATGGCCCTCATCTGCAGGTCACGGCACAAAAGGAAGGAAGCACACGCAAGAGAAAGAGAATGAGAGTCAAGCGGTGCTGCAATGTCCCTCATCTGCAGGTCAAGTCACGAACGGGAGGGCAAGCGAGAGCAGGGAAATGGTCAAGAAATGAGAGAGAGAAGGCTGATTGTAATTGCAATTATTATTTTGATTATAAACTTAAGCGGAACGAGTAGAATGCTTGTTGCAACTTAAGCAACGTACCGCGACTTTGTCGTAGTTGCTGTTGATGAGGAAGAGAGGCGTGGAGACGTATTGCAAAATATGGTTGGCCATGAAGTACTGGCGTGGGTGAGGAGGGTGAGGAGGGTGAGAAAGGTGGAGAGAGGGCGCATTATGGCAAAGGTTAAGAGGGGTGGAGTGGAGTGGAGACGGCATGGCATGGCATGGTACGGCATGGTACGGCATGGTGGAAGGCATTAACATGGTGGAGTGGAGACGGCATTAGCAGCGCACCTCATGGTGCTTTAAAACTCAAAGGCAGCAGCAGCGCACCTGATGATGCTGCTCTAGCGCTCGATCCTTGACACACGCTGGTGGGAGGCTGATGGTCAGATTCTGGATTGAAGAACGGAGAGAACAGGGAAGAAAAAGAGAGAAGAAAAGGGCAAGGCAGGGAATGTGAGAGGGAAGGCAGATATGGGTTGGTGTGGGATTGCATGTCCCTTATGACTTGCTCAAAACTCATTTTTTAACTTGCATACTCTATTGAGTCGACTCAACATCACCATGGGTTTATGTGAAATTGCATGTTCCTTATGACTTGCATACTCTTAGGGTTATGAGTTGCTCACATGCATGGTCTGCACTTCAGAAAAGAATGCTGCAATCCTCCTGTTGTTGTCGCTGTCTGGACTGCACATGGGAAGAGACGGAGGGTGGGAGAGGGAGCGAGGGAGAGGGAGGGAGGGAGAGGGAGGGAGGGAAACGGAGGGAGGGAGAGGGAGGGAGGGAAACGGAGGGAGGGAGGGAGAGTTTTGTGGACGTCTGGAGTGCACAGGGCAGAGAGGGAGGGACAGAGCGAGACACCACGCATGCAAATCAGGTGTAGAGGAGTGAGGATGAGCGAAAAGGAGTGAAGAGGAGTGAAGAGAAGGGTGAAGAAGTGAAGAGGAGAGGAGTGAAGAGGGGTGAAGGAGTGAAGAGGGGTGAAGAGGGGTCTTACATGTCGAGGAACATGGAGGCATCCGCAAGGCAGCGCACTCGCATGTGGGGAGAGGCGGCTGTGAGAGAGTCCTTCACTCGATCGCAGTGCAGCAGCGGTGCCACTCCCCCCGCTGAACTCCCCGACACAACCACCTGCGCGGGAAAAGTATTCGTAATTCAGAGGGAAAAGGCGAAAGAAAATCACAAACAGTGAGCCTCTGAGATTCTGTGCAATTCAGAAGCACAGAGTCGGCCTTGGCTGATTGATTGCACACGCTACAGCCGGGTGAACAGTGCGCTACAGCCGGGTGAACAGTGCGCTACAGCCAGGTGAACAGTGCGCTACAGCCGGGTGAACAGTGCGCTACAGCCGGGTGAACAGCGCGCTACAGCCGGGTGAACAGCGCGCTACAGCCGGGTGAACAGCGTGCTACAGCCGAGTGAACAGCGCGCTACAGCCAGCCGCCTGAGGTTGAGGAACGAGGGAGGCCGCCTGCTCTCACGCTCTTCCCTCCCAACCTCCACCCTCTCACCCTCCTCCTCCCTCTCACCCTCCTCCTCCCTCTCGCCCTCTTCCTCCCTCTCACCCTCCCCCCTTTCCAAACCCCACCTCACCTTCTCCGCGTGGCCAAGCCCCTTCTTCTCCTTGAGGTGCTTCACCAGTAGGTCCGCCACTCGCACTCTACCCCCTCTCGTTATCCCTCCCAATCTCACCCTCCCACCCGCCACCCTCCCCCTTCTCACCTTCTCCGCGTGGCCAAGCCCCTTCTTCTCCTTGAGGTGCTTCACCAGCAGGTCCGCCACTTTCCTTCCCCGCATGTACAGCGGAATGCCCTGGGGGAAGGGAAAAGGGGCCAGGGGGAAGGGGAACGGGGGCCAGGGGGAAGGGGAACGGGGGCCAGGGGGAAGGGGAACGGGGGCCAGGGGGAAGGGGAACGGGGGCCAGGGGGAAGGGGAACGGGGGCCAGGGGGAAGGGGAACGGGGGCCAGGGGGAAGGGGAACGGGGGCCAGGGGGAAGGGGAACGGGGGCCAGGGGGAAGGGGAACGGGGGCCAGGGGGAAGGGGAACGGGGGCATGGCGGAGGCGGAAGGGGGGACGGGGGAATAAGGAGGTCAGAATTGTCTAATTGAGTTGACGATACTTCAGCAAAGCGGTTGCAAGGAAATGACTTGGTTGCGTTGGCGGGAGGTGGACGGGGGACGGGAGGAGATGCACGAAAAGGAGTGCAGAGGCGGAGCTGCAGAACGGAAGCGAAAAGGAAAAATGGCAGAGAGGCAGAGAGGTGGAGGGGGGCGGAGAGGGAGAGGCGAGAGGGAGAGGGGTGGAGAGGCGGAGAAGCAGAGCGGCCCCTCGGAGAGGGAGAGGGGCGGAGAGGCAGGTGAGTGATGACTGACATTGAAGCGAACGGGCTGGTCCTGGTGGCCTGAGAAGGAGCCGCCATCGCAGTAGATGAAATACACGGCGTTCCAATTGTAGAAATCTGGACGGGGAAGGGAGCAAGGGGAAGGATGCAATGCAGCGGTGTCAGGACGGCAGGTGAAGTGAGGACGACAGCGGACGGGGACGGGGACAGGGACGGGGACGGGGACGGGGACGGGGACGGGGACGGGGACGGGGACGGGGAAGGGAGAAGGGGGAAGGGGACAGCATATTGATTGAGTCGACTCAAATTTCTCACCGGGGTTGACGGTGTGGTTGGAGCTCAACATGCCCTGCATGCTGCCGTTCTGCGCATCAAGTGTGCGGTGCGGTGCGGTGCGGTGCGGTGCAGTGCAGTGCTGCAGCTACGAATTCTCACCAGGGTTGACGGTGTGGTTGGCACTGAGCATTCCGTGCATGCTGCCGTTCTGCCTATCCAGCATCTCCCCCACTGAGCGCGCATGCTTTGTCGACCCCAGGTGCATGCGCGCCCGGTACGCGCAGGCATGCGGGGACGAGCACCATGCGCCGCCCTGCAATGCCGCGCGCGGAAAGGGGGAGGGGGAAGGGGAAGGGAAATGGGAAAGGAGGGGGAATGGAAGGTAAACAAAGGGAGGGAAAGAACGAACAGCAGAGGGGATGGAGGCCAAACAAGGAGGATAATAGGATGCGGATGGTAGGAGTGCGGTTACAACTGAAGGAAAAGAGGAAGAAGGAGAATCGTTCGTTAAAGCCACACCTCGAAGAACAGCACCCAGTTGTCACTTCCCAAGCCGTAGCCCTTCCGATAGTACACCCCGGGGCCGATCCGTCCAAGCACACTGCGCCCTCCGCGCGCCCTTCTTCCGCAAGGACCAGCTGCAGCGGCGGAATATGCGCCTCCGCCATTGCGGAAGCATGGGAGGATTCTTTCACTAGCTCCGCCGCTCTCCTCCGCGGAGAGTCTCCGCTTCCGGCGCCAACAGCCAGCTTGCGGGGATGCGCCGCCGCATTCCCGCGCAATCCGCGCACGCCGCCAGCTGCCGCTGCGACGAGGAGAAGAACAACCAGAACCGCCGCTGGCGGCGCAACTGGCGGGAAGCCCCGGCGCGACATGTCGATGGGCGCGCGGAAGGCGCTACCGATGGAGAGGCGGCGGCGGAGAAGGCGCAGTTGACGGCTCGAGGGGGCGATGGCTAGCGGCGGAAACAGGTGACTCAGCGCGCGCCGCGGAAAGGCGGCGCTTCCACCTGGAAGGCGCTACTACGTAGAATTTCCCTTGATAGAGCGGGTGAGCGGAGAATCTATTGGCGGAGAATCCCTTGGTACTTATCACTAATAGTCTCGACTGTAAGCAGGATGAGGAGCAGCTGCAGCAACGGAAGGAGTAGTGAGTGAGTCGTCCACGCGACAGGGTACTATTTAAGCTGGCATCGTAACTGCGGCGCGGGTTCATGATCGCCGATCGGCGCATCATGATAGGCGCGCGCAGTGATCGCGTGTGGCAGGCGGCGCGATACGTGGCGTGGCGGAGCCCCGGCCGCGTATCGGCGCGAGCACTGATCGCCGGCTGATACGTATCGTGGCGGAGCTCTCCGGGGGGGTGGGGGGGGGAAGGGGGGGGGGGGGGCATCGCCATGATCCTCTGGTTTCAGGTCGGTCCGAGTCGGCCGCAGAAAACAAGTGAAAGGCACCTAGGAACCGACTTTCAGTCGCCGCCGATGGCCCTGCGCTTCGACCCATTATCTCCTCCCCCCACGGTCCCCCTTCCCCCTTCCTCCTTCCCCCATCCCTCGCGCAAATAGCTCCTCTTTTCCCTTGCTCTTTCTCATCCTCGCTCTCTCCTCCACCGTCCATCTCTCCCTCCCACTGCGAGTGAGGGCGATTACTGTTTGGGAAACGCCATGCGATGCGACGCGAATGGCGGTGGCAGGGGGTACAGTACAGATCTCCATCGAGAGCTCCTATCCATGATGCCGAAGGCTGTCGATCGTCACGTGCCTTCGTTTGTCGGATACGCCACTGCTAGTGGAGAATTACGACTGGTTCAACAGCCGACTACAAATCTGTGGTAATGGCGCCTCGTATTCACAGCAAGCAGCAGCATTTTGCAAGTGTTGGAAGCAGGCCTCATGCTGACCGCAAGAAAAAAATCGATCAAGGAAAATATTTGGTTGCGCCAGGTGGTGAATTCGCAGTGGAGCGTGTTTGAACCACACACGAGCTTCTTTCCGAGGACACGAGAGTTCGTTTTCTCTTCAGCAAAAGGGATGATGTGCAATGTGGAGCGGTTTCGTGCTTCACCAATTTGAACCGCTGCTCACCAGTCTGAACAATGATTCGTTGGTTTAGGACTCGTTCGTCGGGACATTGTATCAATAAATAATAATGTAGCCGGCCATATGGGCTATAGAGGAGAGTACGCTTACAGTTCGTCCTGTACGGTGCAAAACGGTAAAATGTGTAAACCGTTGTGCAACGTTTGATATTGTCTTCCGCAACGACGCATGAACTGTAAAGGAAGTGGAACGTACGCGCTGGACCCGCCCTACGATTCTCGAACAGTTGACACATCAGTCAGGTGAATTGACACCACAAGTGCTGATGCAGGTGTTGTTTCAGTACAGTCGTTGCTCGACATTTGCGTACAAGTTCCTTTCTATTTTTGCAGCATGTCCCTCCTTTCCAACACCCTATACAGTTGCGCAAGTTTTTTGGGTTGCGAAGCAACCCTTTAAAATCGATTTTGCCAAATTTTACTTTCATAATTATATTTTTCTATAAAATCATGAAAATAAAATTTGTAACTATGGTAATACCTTTCCCATACTGTATGCATGATGAGCAGTTTTGAATAAGATACTGTTCATAATGCATTAAACGATATGATTTTTTTGCAGTTGTTTAGTGCAGCTTTGCTGTGCTGTTTGCATTATATGTTTTACTGTTAGATGATGTATAATGATAAAGAGATGCATGCATAATGCATAAATGATGCTATATAATGCATAATGCATAAAATAATGCTATACAATGCATGTGATATGTCATGAATGATGCACACGCACATGATAAAATGGGTGACAGTTAACAACCCAAAAACTAAGCTACCGCCATCCCTTGCCTAGCATGGGGGGGAGGTCAATAGCTTAGCTTTTGAATAATCAACTACCACATGAAACAACACAATCTGTGAAGTCTAAAAAAAAAAGTCATCTCTATCAAATCCAGTTCGAAGTGGTCGCACACGAGTCACTGAGTGCGCCAATGAACCTTCTGTGAAATGATAGATTTGAGATTTCTTTTTAAAGATCAGACGTGCATTGTTATTGCAATGGATACAGATGAATGCACACAGCCACGGTACACACGCACGAAGGCACACACACACATACAAACAAATACAATATCACACACATTCACACAAACAGAAAAAACTAAAGGCAAAACCTGTAAAAACAACAAAACATGCAAACATCAATACAAAACAATCCTACAGATTACCACTACTATGCACTTCACAAATAATCTTGGCAGATGTACACATCTGGAACGAAAATCAGAAGGAAATCTGGAAAAACAAATAAGCAACGAATGAAGGAGAGGGAAAGAAGGAAGAGGGGAGAGAAGAAAAGAATTATCAAAATGTGGAGAAAATTGAAAAGAAAGTAAGGCAGATGAGGAGAATATCATGATAACCAAACAGAATGCAAGCTAATTGTGGTAAGGTAAAAAAATGATGAAGACCGCTATACACTAAAAAACAGAGCAAGTAACAAAACAGGAAACAACGATATACCTTAGCTGTGAATTTCACAGAGAGAGAACGAGAGAGAGAGAAAAAAAAAGAGAACGAGAGAACGAACGAGAGAGAGAGAGAGAACGAGAGAGAGAGAGAGAGAGAGTGAGAGAGAGAGAGAGTGAGAGAGAGAGAGAGAGAGAGAGAACGAGAAGGAGAGAACGAGAGAAAGAGAATGAGAGAAAGAGAACGAGAGGGGAGAACGAGAGAGATGAACGAGAGAGAGAGAGAACGAGAGAGAGAGAGAACGAGTGAGAGAACGAGTGAGAAAGAACGAGAGAGAGGGGACGAGAGAGAGAGAACGAGAGAGAGAGAACGAGATACAGAGAACGCGAGAGAGAAAGAGAGAACGAGAGAGTGAAAGAGAACTAGAGAGAGAGAACGAGAGAGAGAACGAGAGAGCGAGAACGAGAGAGCGGGAACGAAAGAGAGAGAACGAGAGAGAGAGAACGAACGAGAGATAGAGAGAGAGAGAGAGTGAGTTCAATAAACTACGAAAAAAAAACTATGTAGTATAGGGGACAAAAACAGAAACTAAGAACGAAACGATGCAGCTACGAATAGAAGGGGTGGCTAATCGTAGAGTCAGAAAAAAGAAGAAGAAAGGTTGAAGAAAGATAAAGCAAAAAAGTCACGAACCCTAAGACAAATGTCACTAGATGCGGAATTTATTAGAAGGAAGTAACAACTCCATAAAATCTCAAGAAACGGAATGAACGAGGTCAGTAAGGAACGAACATGGGACTGGAAGGAAAAAAAAGAAGGAAAAACAAAAACCGGAAAGCATATAAATAGAGACAACGATTCAAGGTAAGACGAGAGATAAGAGCGCGATAGGAAATGAAGCAGCCTTAGTAACGACTAAAGGAAAAGTGACGTCCTTACAAAGGCCTAGAACTTAGAAACAGAATGATCTAGATCGGAAAAGGAACTAGTTCGGTGGAAAGGAAAAGGAAGAAGAAGATCCACTCAACTAGAATGAGCTTAACGATAAAGAGAAAATAGGAGCTGGTTCATGCAGGAGGAAACGTAGAACAGGACCTAATACGATGAAAATTTGGAGTCTTTACATAGGACATGAAACCTAAGTTCATTGCAATCCTTTGAACGGTTAGATTAAGAGGCTACGACAGGTTAGTCTCGCTAAACTTAGTTCTAGTTTATAGTTTAGGTTCCTTCTCACCTTAGAGTGGTAGGTGGAGGGTGACTAGCTGGCGGCTGTGAAGAACCTAGCTCAGCGTGAAGAAATGCGGGAGGAGAAAAAGAACATACCAACCCTAGACGAGGGAGCATTTCGTCGCAAAAACAACGTTGAATATAACTGTTTTTACAACGTTAACACTAGTGATAGCGCAGTCGTTTGAGAAGTCCTTCGGTTGCGAAAGGTGGCAGGTCCAAATCCTTTCGGGGACCATTTTGCAAACCTCAACAAAAAATTCTGAGTTTGAAGTTGTGATACTTTGTATCAATATTGTGCACTACAAGGTAGGTAATCGTGTAAAACAAAATCTTAGTATTAGAACTTGTACAATATAATTTGTTTATGCAAATCGCTTCGCAACCCTAAGACGATTTCGTCGCCTCTTGTTTTTTTTTTTTTTAGTCTGTGGTAGGTGGGTTGGTAAAAGCCGGTGAACTGTACAACAGCGTGTACAGTCGGTGCGAAAGCGTCAAATGTCGGTGACTGAATCGCACGCGCGCGCCTCGGGGTAAGTGAAATTTCTCGAGCAAATTCCAGGGCGATGTTTGATAGCCAGCCAGTAGTGGGTGAGGGTGGGTCAAACCAGGGTCAACGACAGTTGACCCAGGTTGAGCGATTCGCGCAACACCTGCGCATATGGGGAGCTGGCGCAATGAGGGCGGCGGATAGGTAACAACCGGGACCATTTCCGGAGGTCCCCCATGTCAGGAATTTTTCCCCTTTCGTTACTGGGTCACGCTATACGCTTACAACTCCAACAATTCGGAAGACCAGGTCCCTTGTTACGGGTACAATGTATCTAGGTAGCTAGGATTGCACTAGGTTGGCAAACGAGTACAAAGTATGAGCTAAGGCATGAACGAATTCTTATAAGCGAGAATGCATACGGTAACGCGGTGCGTGCGAGCTAGCTTGTGCGATGCTGGCATCGAGGTTCGGGCTAGCCCCGAAGCGTAGGCCGACTCGATCAGGCCAGCGATGCATGGTTTTGGTAAATGCAGCGCGTGAAGGCGGCGAAAGCTCCGTTAGCTGTAACGGACGAAGAGCGGTCGGTCTTGTACGCAATGTTGAGCAGCGCAGTAAGGAATGTCAAAAAATTCCTTACAATACCCCCCCTCCTCAAAAAGCCCCTCCGCTACGTGAGTGCGTATATATCACGGAAACCCTGGCTTCGCAGGTACACTTGCAGGGCATGGTGGTTTTCAATGTTGGCCAGGGGCACCCAGCTATCCTCCGTGAGGGTGCGGTCCTTCCAGCGTACCAGGAACTCAATCCTCCGAATCCCCGTGGGGGAATCCGATGGCTCAGAGTTTTCTTCGGGGTCGACGACCGGCTCCGATGCAGGACGTGTCATCGATGGCGCACGATGGCGTGGCAGTTGGCTCGTGGTGGCGATGTATGGGCGGAGTAAACTGACGTGGAACGACGGGCTGATGTACCAGTCAGTCGGTATCAGGAGATGGGCGGTGACAGTTGTTATCATGTGGCTGATCTGGAATGAGCCACAGTAGCGCGGGCGGAGTTTTGGTACGACAGGCAGGCGTAAGTTCTGCGTGTCGAGCAGTACATAGTCTCCTGACTAGTACGTCACAGGGCGGCGGTGGCAGTCGGCGTTCCTTTTAGCAATGACATTTTCTTTTTTAATTGCGTCTGCTGTGCGTGTCCGGGTGCCGAATCTCGTCGAATTGCTGTGCGCGTAGTGTTGGGTTGTCTGGGCTCGGCGTCACGGGCACTGAGGGGTTTTGCCGGTAATTCAGGAAAAACGGTGACTGCTGCGTCGTCGCTGACGTGGCGTTGTTGTAGGCGAACTCGATCAGCGGCAACTGCTGCTCCAAGGTTGTCGGGTCGTCACACGTGGCCCGAATGAGCTGCTCCATGGTCTGGTTCATCCGCTCCGTCTGATCGTCGGTCTCGTGGTGATACGACAAACTGAACTGTAGCCGGGTCCCGAACTGCTCCCATAGGTTTCTCCATAAATTGCTTGAGAACTTCGTGTCGCGGTCGCTCATGATCGCGACTGGTATCCCGTGCAGGCGAACGACGGTCGCGATGAACATGTGAGCGGTTTCTTCGGCTGAGATCGATTTCCTGCACGCAGCGAAATGGGCCATTTTCGTCAGTCGGTCAACGACAACCATGACCGCGTCGTTACCACCAGGGCTCGAAGGTAACCCCGTAACGAAGTCCATTGTAACCTGCGCTCGGGCGGCGGAATCGGCTGCAGCTCCCGCCTTTTTTCTTGCGCGAGCTCTTCATCAACTGACACGTGGGGCACGATCCCACGTGGTGCTGTACGTAGGTCAACAGCTCCGGCTAGTAATAGTACCGCTGCAGTTGCTGTCGCGTTTTTTCTACCCCGAAGTGACCCGACGTAACCCTGTCGTGTGCCTCCTGCAGTAGCAGCTCCCTTAGCAGTGAGTATGCGGTACCCAGATGTGGTAAGTGCCGGTCTTTACGTAATAGACTCCCTTAGCTTCCGTTAGTGACTGTGAAATATGGGTCAGTGCGGTGGGTGAATAGGCATGTTAACAATGGGTTGGTTTCGGCGAGTAGGATGGCGTGAAGTTGGGCGGTAGGACGAGTGAGAGCGTCGGCGATAGTTGATGCTCCTTTCTTGTACGTGACGGTGTAGTGAAATTTGGACTCCAGATAGTCCAACCACCGTATCTGTCGCGAATTGAGATTCGTTTGGGCGCGAAAGGTACTGTAGTGAGCGATGATATGTCCGTACTGTCACGTCAGCTCCTATGAGGTAGCACCGCCACACCTTGAACGCGTGCACGATCGCCAACATTTTGCGGTCATGTATCGGGTAGTTGCGCTCGGGCGGGTGAAGCTTGCGGGACTCGTACGCGATTGGCTGGAGGCCGTTCCTGAAGTCCTGCAACAGTACAGCTCCCACAGCAATGTCGCTTGCGTCGTTGACCAGCTCGAACGGACGGTGCGGATCAGCGATGTGAAGTACGGGCGACGAGCAAAAAATATTATTGAGGGCCGAGAAGGCAGCTTGCTCTTTCTCCCCCCGCGTGTACTCAACCCCCTTCCTCAGCAGGTCGGTCAACGGGGCAGTCAGCTTCGCCATATCGGGGACGAACCGTCGCACGTAGTTGACAAACCCCAGAAAACTCTGCAGCTCGGTCAAATTTGTCGGCGTGTGCCATGCTTGAATTGTGGCGATCTTTTTCGGGTCTATTTCCTCTCATGACGAAGGTGCACGCTTTACTGAAGCAGTCGAATCTCACCTACTGGCCGTACGCGATGCACCACGCCGTACGCCTCCACAACCTACTCTCCACCACGGCCATCACCGGCAACCTGTCGCCGCACGTGAAGTGGACGGGCAGGAAGGGGGATACCTCCATGCTACGAGTGTGGGGATGTGTGGTGCAGTACAGGACCCCTACCTCAACTATCAGGAAATTCATGAGCCGCGCGCGTTGGGGCATTCACCTCGGCATCAGCTACAAAATCACACATGCATAATCTTGTACGTGCGTGACTACGACCGACGCCATGGCATTGATTTCGATCAGACATTCGCCCCCGTGAGTCGTCATACCTCCATACGCATATAGGAATAGCCACATACTTACTGCGAAGGCAATCGACGCGTATGCCAGCTCAAGAAGTCATTATATGGGATCAAGCAGGCGCCAAGGCTCTGGCAGCAGCACCTGCACAAAATCCTACTTGAAATGGGATTCATGCAAGTGCCGCACGATCCCGTAATGCATCGCCTATATTTATGCGGCGATAACATCCTGCTCACGGTTTACTTGGACGACGTACTCTACGCAGGCACGAGCAACACACTTCTCGATCATTTCGAGAATAAAAGGGCGATGCGTGTCGACATCACCACGAACCACGATGTGACGCAGTTCCAATGGCTTAATATCTCCGACGCCCCTGAAGCTATTCACCTCTCAGCTTCCAAGTATGCTAAAACACTTGGGAAGCGGTTCAACATTCCTTCGGTACCACTCTCAACTCCCTATCGCACGCCATGACCAAACTACAAGCCTGTCAACAAAGCCCTGTCCCCTGCAGGACTTCACACCTACCAGCAGCAACTAGGGTGCATGCTGTTCGCATCTGTGACCTGCAGGCCTGATCTTTCCAACATCGCGAGCCAGCTGGCTCAGTACTCACGCAAGCGAACGGCTGAGAATCTTCTGGATCTTAAGCGCGCCCTGCAATTCTTCATCTCAACACCCAACATCGGACCGTCCTACTCCACGCTCACGACTCCCTTGTCAGATTTATATGACATAGCTACTGTAGGCTATAGTGGGGTAGCACATATGGGGTACAGTTTTCTAGGGTTTGCTTCTTGTACCGAACTTTCACTTAGTCATTTCATTCCTCGTTTCTTCTCATGGTATCGAGCAGGTTCCCTAATGGGAACGATTCCTAGGGCCCACCACCACGAAATTTTTTTTTCCTGCCCGGAGCGCGTTTTGCGCCGGCCCGAGTCGCGCCGCCCTTTCGGCCCGTCGCGCCCGTCGCGCCCGTCGCGCCCATCGCCACCTACCTCCGCGGCCCCGCCACCTACCTCCGCGGCCCCGCCACCTACCTGTGCGGCCCCGCCACCTACCTGTGTGGCCCCGCCACCTACCTTCGCGGCCCCGCCACCTCACTGTGCGGCCCCGCCACCTACCTCCGCGGCCCCGCCACCTACCTGTGCGGCCCCGCCACCTACCTTCGCGGCCCCGCCACCTCACTGTGCGGCCCCGCCACCTACCTCCGCGGCCCCGCCACCTACCTGTGCGGCCCCGCCACCTACCTTCGCGGCCCCGCCACCTCACTGTGCGGCCCCGCCACCTACCTCCGCGGCCCCGCCACCTACCTGTGCGGCCCCGCCACCTACCTTCGCGGCCCCGCCACCTACCTTCGCGGCCCCGCCACCTACCTCCGCGGCCCCGCCACTTACCTTTGCGGCCCCGCCGCCTCCTCCCAGCGGCCCCGGACGCCGCCCTCTCAGCGGCCCCGCCGAGCCGCCCAGCAGCCGAGCCGCCCAGCAGCCGAGCCGCCGAGCCGCCCAGCCGCCGAGCCGCCCTGTCCGCAGCCGAGCCGCCCAGCAGCCGAGCCG